TGGTGTAGGGGGATCATCCAGGCCCAGCCTGTTCAAGGGAAGCTTTCCTTGATAGCACCACGATTGCCAACCCTCGCCGGATGGGGAGAAGCCGCCGGAGTTATGTTAAGGATCCTCTCTTCAATCCCGGTCCAACCGTGCTGTTTTCTGGGTGTCGGGAGGGGGTGGCAACTTCGTGCTGCCCCCCTCAATGTGGGTTTTTGTCCATCCCCGAGCCCCGGCTCCTGGAGCCTGGATTACTTGATTCATCTTCCCTTAGACCAGCGCTTCTCCACCTGGCACCTGTTCTCGTCCGGGCACCTCGCTACGTCCGTTGCACTCGCTCAGCGTTGTGCGAGGAGCGAGCTTTGCAACCATCGTCTCTGCCAGCTGAGATGCAGGCCTGCCGAACCCGCCTGGTTTCACGAAGCATCGCTTGGAGTGGCCACAGAGATCTCCTGCCACCTTTGGGGGGAAAGGAGTGAGATCTCTGTGCTGGGACGGTGGAAAAGTCACAGGGCTGAGTCCCGTCTTGCACGATTGTCTGCACTGATCATCACGTCTGCCTCCCGCGGGGGCACTGGGGAACCGGGTGGCTCGCCAGCGCTTCTCATCCTCTCTTCTCCCCTCGTTAGATGCCAAGCCCCCTCAGAAAGTGCCGTCTCCGCTTTCACTTGTTTCTCAATTACAGAGAAACCCTCAAGTGAATCCAAGATTGGGGGACAGACCCAGGCCTCCTATGGGAGATCTCCAGCTGTGTCCTGGGATGCGCCTAACTGTGCGAACGGTGATGTGGCGCCCCCGGCCTGGCTGATACTTGCCGCCTTGGGGCAGCACTAGGACGCTGGGCTCCCTTTGCCCAGGGGACTCTGGGGGCACCAAGGGGGTCCCCTGAGGTGGTGCTTTCTTAAAGGAACCTCACGTTTAGGGCCAACCCCAGTGGGGGGGGCTGCTTGTTGTCTAATGGGGGCTAATCCCCCGCCCCCCCCCCCGTTGGAGGGTGCAGGCCAGGCCCTGAGGGGTGCAGCCAGAGCCTGGCGCCCTGCCCTGCCCTGCCTGCTGCTGGGTTGTCTCAGGAAGGGAGGGGAACCCACCATTGAGGGGGACAAAAAGGCCTAGACTGGGCCCTGAGGGGTTGCTATGGAGACCCCAAGATGGCGCCCGCCGCCAGCCTGACGCCCTTCTCCAAATGGCGGCGCTCGCCACCTAGCAGCGCCGTTGCGTCATCACGCTTCTCCCCTGCCTCATTCCCTTCTCAAGATGGAGGCCCCCAGCAGGGGTTTCCTGTCCATAGGGTGAGGACACTTCCGCCCTGCTTCCCGGCATGCCTTGCAGCACAGGGGCATCTTCCGGGCGGCGGCGGCGGAGCGCGGCAAGATGGCGGACGTGTTGGATCTGCACGAGGCGGGCGGCGAGGACTTCGCCATGGACGAGGATGGCGACGGTACCGCGGGGTGACCCGGATGTCCCCCCCCCGTTGGGCCGGTCCCCCCCGGTTCCGGGTCCCATCGGGCCTCCCCCGCCCCCGGCCTGGGGCTGGCCTAGTCCCGGTTCTGGGTCCCGCTTCAAGCCTTTTCCCGCCGGTTCTGGCCCCGCCCCCGCCCGGTGTCCTCCCCGCGGGGCTCGGTTTGGTTCTCTCCGGCCCCCGCGCTGACCGCCCGGTCTTGCCCGCAGAAAGCATCCACAAGCTGAAGGAGAAGGCCAAGAAGCGCAAAGGCAGAGGCTTCGGCTCAGGTAACGACGCGGCTGCAACCCCCGCGGCTCTGCCCATCTGCGCGCGGGGACCCCAGTGCTCCCAGAGCCTCCAGTGCAGCCTCCAGACTGGTGTCCGCTTGTTGCTGGCAGGGCAGAGCGGGGGAGGGGCCGGGGGTGTTGCGATGCCTGGGGCCTTTCAGCTGTGAGCAGATCCCTCTGTCTCCCGCGTCCGGCTGTCCAGACCCTTCCCTACCTGCAGCAAACGTGCGCAGGGTACTCGGTTGTCTGCCCCGCGGCCCTTGGTCCTGCTTGGAGCAGGGGGGTTCCCGGTCGTTAGGGGCTGGAAAGGACCTTACAGATCGGGTCCAGCCCCCCTGCACGTGGGCAGCGAAGACCGCTGGGATCAGATGACCTCAGGGTTGGACTAGATGTGATCTCCTGAGGTCTCTTCCCACCCTCATTTTCTATGATCCTATGCATACGTGTTTCCCTGCATCACTACTATTACAGGCTCTTTGGGGTAGGGTGTCTGAAAACCGGTGTCTACAAGCTCGGGTGTCTGGTGGTGGGGTGGCCGCGCAGGAAACCGTCACTAGTTGTCTGAAATGATCCACGTTTTGCTTTTCTCCGCCTGTGCCCAGAGGAAGGCTCCAGGGCCCGAGTGCGTGAGGACTATGACAGCGTGGAGCAGGACGGGGACGAGCCAGGGCCTCAGAGATGTGAGTACAGCTGGGGATTCGTTCTGGGGTCTTTGGTGGGTGAAGTGTCACACGAGGTTGCTTTAAGGAAGGGAGGAGCCAAGTCTATCATTGAAGTGGGGTCCGGTGGGTAAAATGCTGGATAGGGACTGAGGGACTGCTGGGGTTATTTTACCCCAGCAGTCTTTCCTGCCCAGAGCAGAGGGCTAGACCTGATGATCTCATGAGGTCCCTTTCAGCGCTGAACTTCTGTGAATCTGAGATGTGGGTTTTATTCGCAGTGCTGCCACTGGCTGGTTCTGTGACCCTAGTGTCTCAGCTCCTCCCTTGTAAAGTTGTGAGAGATGC